ATATTCTCCAGAATAGACCACATATTAAGTCATAAAGCAAGCTTAACAGAATCCAAAGCATCGAAATATTACAAAGCATTTTTTCTGATCATAAAGCCATAAAAGTGGAAATCAACAACAGATAAAGGAAAAAAACCAAACACATGGAAACTGAACAACACCTTGCTCAAAAACTACTGGGTTATAGAAGAAATTAAGGATGGGATAAAGAAATTGACAGAATCAAATGAGAATGAAAACACATCTTACCAGAACCTTTGGGACACAGCAAAAGCAGTGCTCAGAGGTCAATTTATAGCAATAAATGCACACATCCAAAAAGAACAAAAGGTCAAAATCAAAACATTAACCCTACAACTGGAACAAGTGTAAACAGAGCAGCAAAAGAAGCCCTTGGGCACCAGAAGAAAGCAAATAATAAAAATAGAGCACAATTAAATAAAATAGAAAATAGAAAAACAATTGAAAGAGTTAAAAAGACCAAAGCTGGTTCTTTGAAAAGATCAACAAAATCGATAAACCATTGGCCAAGCTGACAAAAGAAAAACAGGAGAGGAAGCAAATAACCCATATAAGAAATGAGATGGGCGATATCACAACAAACCCAACTGAAATTAAAGAATCATAACAGAATACTATGAAAAATTGTACTCTAGAAAACTGGAAAACCTAGAGGAAATGGACACATTTATAGAAACACATTACCTACCCAAACTAACACAAACAGAGGTAGAACAACTACATACACCCATAACAAAAGAAGAGATTGAAAAAGTAATTAAAAAACTCCCAACACACACAAAAAAGCCCTGGCTCTGATGTTGTCACTGCAGAATTCTACCAAACATTCAGAGAAGAGTTAACACCACTACTACTAAAGGTATTTCAGAGCATAGAGAAGGATGGAATACTCCACAACTTGTTCTATGAAGCCAGCATAACCCTGATACCAAAACCAGATAAAGACACCACAAAAAAAAGAAAATTACAGACCAATATCCCTCATGACCATAGATCCACAAATCCTCAACAAAATTCTAGCCCATAAAATTCAACAACATATCAAAAAAATAATTCACCATGACCAAGTAGGATTTATACCAGGTATTCAGGGATGGTTCAACTTTAGAAAAACAATCAATGTAATCCATCACATAAATAAAACAAAAAACAAGAACCACACGATCTTACCAATCGATGCAGAAAAGGCATTTGACAAAGTTCAACGCCCATTGCTGATAAAAACTCTCAGCAAAATAGGAACAGAAGGGAAATTTCTCATTATAATAAAGGGCATTTATACAAAGCCAACAGCCAACATAATCCCAAATGGAGAGAGTCTGAAAGCATTCACCTGGAGATCAGGAACCAGACAAGGATGCCCTTTATCACCACTCTTATTCAACATCGTGCTAGAGGTCCTAGCCAGAGCAATTAGGCTAGAAAAAGATATAAAGGGCATCCAAATTTTTAAGAAAGAAGTAAAAGTATTTCTATTTACAGATGATACGATCTTATACACAGAAAACCCCACAGAATCCATAAGAAAACTACTGGAACTAATAGAAGATTTCAGCAAAGTATCAGGATACTGGGAAGAAATATTTGGCTATGACAAATCCAATCAGCATCTAATCTCTAAAATCTACAAGATACTGCAAAACCTCAACAACAAAAAGACAAATAACCCAATGAAAAAATGGGCAAAGAATATGAACAGGCACTTCACCAAAGAAGGCATTCAGGCAGCTACCAGATACATGAGGAAATGTTCACGATCATTAGACATTAGAGAAATGCAAATCAAAACAACAATGAGATACCATCTCACCCCAACAAGGCTACCATTAATCCAAAAAACACAAAATAATAAATGTTGGAGCGGTTGTGGAGAGACTGGAACACTTATGCACTGTTGGTGGGAATGTAAAATGGTACAACCACTTCGGAAATCGATTTGGTGCTTTCTTAAAAAGCTAGAAATAGAAGTACCATATGATCCAGCAATCTCACTCCTTGGAATGTATCCTAGAGAAATAAGAGCCATAACACAGATAGATATATGCCCACCTATGTTCACTGCAGCAGTGTTCACAATAGCAAAAAAAAAGGAAACAAACTAGGTGCCCATCAATGGACGAATGGAGAAACAAATTTTGGTATATTCACAGAATGGAATACTACGCAACGATAAAGAACAACGATGAATCCTCGAAACATCTCATAACATGGATGAATCCTGAAGGCATTGTGCTGAGTGAAATTAGTCAGTGGCAAAAGGACAAATGTTGTATAAGACCACTATTACAAGCACTGAAGAAATGGTTTAAACACAGAGGAAAAATTCTTTGATGGTTACGAGGGTGGGAAAGGAGGGAGATGGGTATTCATTAGCTAGACAGTAGATAAGAATTATCTTAGGTGAAAGGAAGGACAACAACAATACAGGGGAAGTCAGCACAACTGGACTAAACCAAAAGCTAGTAAGTTTCCTGAATACAACCAAACATGTCAAGGGACAGAGTAACAGGGGTGGGGGCCTGGGGACCATGGTTTCAGGAGACATCTAGGTCAACTGGTATAACAAAGTTTATTAAGAAAATGTTCTGCATCCCACTTTGGCGAGTGGCATCTGGGGTCTTAAAAGCTAGCAAGCAGCCATCTAAGATACATCAATTTGTCCCAAACCACCTGGAGCAAAGGA